AGACTTGCAATAATAACCCAAAGTAAGAGTGATAAAATAGAGTTCATATGAGTACTCAAACTTGTAACAAATCACTGCCAATAATTTCATGCTGATGAAGCCAACAATGAAAAGAAAACCTTCCTTACCTCGTTTAGTGGCACCTTCCCGGACCGGTGTACAAATGTTAGCAAACCTAGCAAGTTTCAGAAAACCCAATGCGGCAGGGCAATTCAGAGCAGACACAGAGACGTCTTCACTCTTCAGAAGCACATGCTGAACTGAAGACAATAGCCTGCCTAGCCCAGAGTTCACCACAGGTCAAACAGGTGAAACAAAGGAATCTAACTATGTAATCAATAACCAATCAGAGGGGAGGTTTGCACAACTTACACAGTCATTAGTCATCATAGTTTTTAATATAATATCCTGAATGGAGTGTCATTGTAATACCTGTCATGGCCATGCAGATGATAAATTCAGATGCTAATATTATCTGCATGTACATGTACATCTCACGGTCATAATATGGTAATAATTAGATATGCATATGTAAGGTTAGGAAAAAACAAGATTACTCTACCATAAAAGTTAAATCATTAGGCAACAGTCACAATGTCCCATCTACAACACTTAAGCTCTATTCTAGAAGTGAACTTTATTAGTAACAGTCACAATACCCCATCTACAACACTTACAGCTCTATTCTAGAAGTGAACTTTATTAGCAACAGTCACAATACCCCATCTACAACACTTACTGCCTTATTCTAGAAGTGAACTTTATTAGTAACAGTCACAATACCCCATCTACAACACTTACTGCCTTATTCTAGAAGTGAACTTTATTAGCAACAGTCACAATACCCCATCTACAACACTTACTACCCTATTCTAGAAGTGAACTTTATTAGCAACAGTCACAATACCCCATCTACAACACTTACAGCTCTATTCTAGAAGTGAACTTTATTAGTAACAGTCACAATACCCCATCTACAACACTTACAGCTCTATTCTAGAAGTGAACTTTATTCGTAACAGTCACAATACCCCATCTACAACACTTACTGTCTTATTCTAGAAGTGAACTTTATTAGTAACAGTCACAATACCCCATCTACAACACTTACTGCCTTATTCTAGAAGTGAACTTTATTAGTAACAGTCACAATACCCCATCTACAACACTTACAGCTCTATTCTAGAAGTGAACTTTATTAGTAACAGTCACAATACCCCATCTACAACACTTACAGCTCTATTCTAGAAGTGAACTTTATTAGCAACAGTCACAATACCCCATCTACAACACTTACTGTCCTTACATACAAGTGAAATTAGGCAACAGTCGAATTGCTTCATTTGCACTGCCTTGGGCGAAAATCAGTATATCTAACTGCAATAATTAACTTCGCCCAGCACATCATGTGGCGAAGATTACCCAATTACGGAAGGGCATGGTTCTATTACAATATACCTTAAAGCCAGACTCAAACTTACTGACGTGTCCATGTATGAACACATGGAGAAAATTTGCATGTGCATTAAAGGTTTGAAAAGATAAATGTATGGGCTTTAAACAAAAATTTTAGTTATTAAGGACACTGCTTAATACAAATACTTTAAAAGGTTATTTAGAAAACATTATTATAGTTTCCTAATAAGGTACATACTCCTGTAGTTTTCAATGCTAA